CTGTCTCCAGGTGGAAACAGGAGTGATACACCTGCTGTCAGACCTGCAGGTATCAGGCTGTGATGTTCTCCTTTACAGTGGACAGAAGTTATTGGAGTGGCACAAATAATTTGTGTGGCATCTTATTGAATGCAGAACAGCTGACTGTTATGTAAATAGTTCGAAATGGTTATTTCAAATTTTTTTTTGAAGAAGTAACTAGTAACTATAATTAATTACTTTTTCAAAGTAACTTGCCCAACACTGATCATATTTAACATTTATAACAATGATCATTCAACAAAAAACATACCTAAAAGTAGTGAAAGAGGGCTCAGCAATTCCATGGCCTGTAAACACAAAAGGCAAAATAAAAACCCAACAACAACAACAACAACAAAAAAAACAGAAAAAGTTGAACACATGGGATTTTATGCAAAATAATATACCGTTAATATTGGTACATCAAAATCCAACATGATAATATGCACTTTGAATAGGGCAGTATAGTACTTTGGTAGTTGTGAGCAATTAGAAATTATTTTACTGCTATTGTTAATAATCATCATCATTACCATTGCATTAATAACATAATCTACAGTATTGATATTGTATTCAGATGTTTAAACATATTGGTACCCGATTAGCCTTTATTACAGGTGCAGTTATAACCATTTTAAACTGTTGAGTTGAATCTATAATCTTAAATGCTTTTGAATGCTTGTTATAATCTGAAATGTGTATGTGCTGGCCTTCTGTCTGGTGGAAAAGGTTACAAGTTGAAACTGAGTGCAGTTCATGATGACATACACTCACACAGTAGACTTTATCTCATTTATAGGTGAGAGGTTAATCATGTTTGCTTGTAACTCTAAAATTGTCTCTGTAAAAGAGGAATAGTTTCTTGCTGTCTCTGCAAACAGAGGAACAGTTTGGTTTTCCAGACGAGAAGTGAAAGTCAGATGACAGGAAGCATCTGCTGTGGAGATGGAGACAATGTTATTTTAAACTGTCTTAAGTCATTGTGGTTTTGAAACCTATGTATGAACTGTATCTGAGTGATGTCAAGGGGCGTCAGTGAATTTAAGCCCTGGAAGGTATAAAACACCTGCTTATGCTCTGTAAGTTGGGGATCGGCGCTGTCTGCGTGCAGCGGGCGATCTTCCCACGCGTGTGCATTAAAATCATCGTTTGACTCCACCCGGCCGGATCAGTGTTGTTATTATGGAAGTTGATTACCTCCTCTACCCCTCCTCAATATTGAACCTTAACATAGTCAAATTGTGACAGATACCACTGACAAACAAAGGCTTGTCTGTGCAGTTCTCTTCTGATGAAATACACAAACTTCTGCCAATGAACTCACATGAGCTTGTCCTTTAACTCGAGACGAGGCTTCAGTTTATCCCATACTCTATCAGAGAAGTTATTCTTACTAAAAAAAAAAGGCTCATGAAGGCTATCCCTGTGGACTTTTTGCCAGTTTATATAATGTTTAAACAGAAATATTAAAGTGTTTAATAATTAATAATAATAAACATTTAATCATTCGACAAGTTCTTTTTGTGTTAATTTTAGAAGGAAGTTCTTAGGATTTACCAAATACGCACACATTCTGGTAATTAGTAATCTAATTTCAACTTACCTTCTCAGTGAAAACTTGCTGTTGGTCTCTGAAATATAACAGAGCTATAGACTGGGAAATGTAAACTTGTGTCTCTGTATGGAGATATTAAACTCATCCCTGTTTTGACTATACAAACACGCCCACCAACACACCATACAGGAGCTAGGATCCTATTAACACTGGGGGCCTCGCCCAGCCTTTTTTTTTTTTTTTTTAATTTGTCCAGCTCTGGTCTCATAGCTTCTGCCTCTGTTGCACCTTCTAAATTGATAATCTGTCTTCTTCTTCTTCACCTTTCCTGCTGTTATTTTTACTCTGAAATCTTAAGCTTGATTTACTTTGTAAGGACATAGTAACCCGAGATTCTTTATTAGAAGTCATGAGAGTTTCAGAGTAACAGACAATTGGCATCGCACAGTAACCATGGTTACGCACTGTCACGCACACCTGTGCAAACAGTCTGAGAGAGACTGTGCTGTTGTTTAATAATAGACATCACTCTGAGCATTATGCACGATTTCATCTTTACATGTTGAACTTGTTGGCATTTTTCACTACCCACCAGCGTAAACTAAGATTACAAATATTTACAATGGTTTGTGTGTAACCTTTGAGGACTCACAGTGTGTCGACTGAAGAAGGCATTCTGTCCACACACAAACACAAAGCAATTTGACCACACACTTAAAACTATTTTACAAATGCATACATCCAAACCTGAGCACACACTGTGCACACAAATGTCTAAAAGTACACGCAACTGCCTTCTCGCTCCCTTACAAAACCTTAAATGTGTGTGGACGAATCGGCTGATACGCACAGATCACGTTGCATGCCCACGTGGGGTTTTGAGGCAAATTTAACGCTGTCACTCAGGGGTGGGCAACTCCAGGGCTCGAGGGCCAGTGTCCTGCAGGTTTTTGATATCACCCTGGGTCAACACACCTGAATCAAACGATTAGTTCATCACCAGGCCTCTCGAGAATTCCAGGACATGTTGAGGAAGTAATTTAGCCATTTGAATCCGTTGTGTTGGATCAAGGACACATCTAAAATCTGCAGGACACCGGCCCTCGAGGCCTAGAGTTGCCCACCCTGGCACATATCATCTGCAAATGTAAGCTGCGATCATGTCACAGTGTAAAACTGGGACATCTGGGCCTCCACTGCCTAACTATTAGTTAGCTTATACTCACTCCAGAGTCTGATTCACAGCCATGCTGTTCCCTATCTGCAGCTGAGCACTGGCTGACTTTTCCTAGCATCTAGCAGCAGATTATTTCAACCGTATATTAACGTTTATAGGCTACTGTATAGTTTCTCTAATTGGCAAATCACATTTTCTAGTTGATTTAGAAAAAGACACGTCCACGTCCCCAAAACAAGACAAAACATTTGTGTGCACAGAAAGGTTTTTCAAAGAAAAAGAATATCTGATTCATGAAGCTAAACAAATTGCCTTATATTTGTGTGTGGATTGAGGCACGCACTCGTGAGTCCTCAAAGGTTACACACAAATGATTGTACATATTTGTAAATCTTAATTTATGCTTGTGGATCATATCGTAGGTTTTGCAACCCTTTTGAGGCAACTTTCCCTCCATAAGTCTATGCTGCAACAGTAACAGGAGACAGCTCCTCTGCCAACAATGTTGAAGTGCTTTAGTTATAATAAGAGGCATTCAAACAAGTAGACATCTTAAATGTGTTTGTACATTCAAAGAGTAAGTAGAGTAATGTTTATTTATATACCACTTTAAGATACGAACAAGTCACAAATTGCTTTACAGAGGTAATAAAAATGTGGTCAAAATGGACACACCCGAATTACGTAAAGCAACACAAATCACAAAAAATTACTCAAATGCCTTTCTAAATACATTTAAATACATTTTAAAGGATACCACAGTGTTGACGGGCCAAAGACAGAGGGGTAAGTTGTTCTGCAGTTTTAGTTTCAAAAGGTTTCGATCTCTGGACCTCAGGATTTGGTTTGAAGAATAGGTGTCGAGTAGACCGGAGACATATAAGT